TGCAAACAAGGATTAACTTTATTTTAATGCTGCGGCATTTTCTCGTCCATATCTTAAAAGGTGGGGTTTCAGGACTTAAAGACGAGGAGTCCGGTTGATCACTTTCAAGATGGCGGTTTAATTTGGATAACAAAGAAAATATCATTTTCGGTTAGCCTGTCAAAAACTCCCATCCAAGGTAGCTAAAAAACGGCGGAAGCTAAACAAATTGGGTCACAAGTTTATTCTTTAAATCTGTTATACCCATAATAAAAGTCATTTATAAAATCATATCTTAAGTAATGAAAATAGAATGTATAATATCTTTTGCGTTGCATAGTTTATTAAGTGATCCAGTATACGTGCATTTCACTCCCTACTCAAATCACACTTTTCTACTCGATTTGCCTTGACAAATGGTTTTTTAGTAAAGGAAATTAACTACTATAAATTTTTGCTAAAGGCCGAACAATTAAGGCTGATATTGAAGAATATCCAACGCGGAATAGTGAATCAGTAGGAAAGCAGCACCAACTATGGAAAACTTTTTGAAAACACTTTATTCCTAAAAATTGTTTTCTTACCTTGTACTTATCATACCAATCTCGAATATCACAGATTTATTTAATAACGTGCTTTTGAATGGTAATAAATTTGTTTCTTCATCAAAAGCCTAGCATTACTTTAAATACGCGTTTTTTCATACCTGTCTATACCGATGACAATACTCAGGAGGTTGAAAGATGGGGAAGAGGGGTAGGAGAAAGATAGAAATGGAAAGAAATTGAAAAAGAGAAGATAGCACGCCAACAATGACGAACTTACTACTCAAGATGTCCATTCGTTCTCAAATATATACATAGTATGAATTAATAGGAATTTTTATTCATAAAAGCAAGAGATGAGAATGAGGTCACCTTCTGTAAGGGCAACAAATAGAGATAAACAGGAAATAGGAAAGGGGAATTGTGCCAACTTTGCCTTTGTTCATCTCACCACAGTCATTTGAGCTGTTGTAAACACGTTTGAGAGTTTCTTCTCTTATTGTTTTCATTTGTCTGTATGTCTGTTTTGCATGCAAAAAGCAGCTCTGGTAGGACGAGGAAGAGGGATTTACTTCGGTAGGAAGTGGTAGGAGAGAGGGGGGAAGGATGGTACTCTGCCTATTCCACAGGTTCATCAGCAAGCAACATAGAGAGCAGATATTGGTCCGAGAGACATCCATTCATGAATTCGTCACGAGTGAGCACACCATCTCTGTTTTCGTCCATTTTATCAAAGATCTCTTCTGTCCGGGCTTCTGGACTCAACTCGGCTGAGGAGCCGTCGGCTCCCAGCATGGAGTATATAGCCTGCAAGGTGTAAATGACCCATGAATCCAACGACGTCTCAAGAAGCACAATGAAACACCCGAGTTTGATTTTAAAAAAAGTTGTTTATTTATAGGATTCATAAAGGCTTGATAAAATCTGGTAGTTTAACGTAAACAGGGAAGTTTTAACGAATAATAACCCTGCCATGGCAGTTCTTGGTAAGCCAGTATTTGTTGTTACTGTCTTTTGGTAGTTTTGAGGTAACTTACTATTAAACGGTACCAAAAATGCCTAAACAAACAGCGCACCTTAATGAATTTTCAGACAGAAACACGCTGAATAAACCATTTTTTGTCTAAATCTGCCTCAATACAACTTACCGCTCTGTCTAATACAACAGATTATGCTCATTACACCCTCGAAATAACAGATGGTACACTTCTAAAACACTATCTTTACTGTTGAGTAATCTAGCCATCAAGGAGAACAAAATCTGTTTAATGTGCCGTTAGTAAGCAACTATAAGGGCGGGAAGTCGGTCTCTTGCAGTTATAATAATTGGTAAAAAACCTTAAAAGTAGGCGATAATTTGTTTACAAGTATTAGCAGCTTCTGCGCAACATAATTCACAGTCATAAAAACCTAATCCTAAGAGTAGTATCACGGATAACTTTTGTTTAGTTTTTAGCCAATTCATTGCCTCATTGTCTACTAGTCGCAATATGGCTCCAAATCACAAACTTTTGTTTGTCCCTCCCCTGATAGGATGAGCTTAAAATGTCTCACCTTTTTGTTTAAAAATGGGCAATAGTTCTTTAAAATATGAATGAATAGACCAGTTTTTGAGCATACGATTTAGAAGATCAAGCACAAGATAAGCGAATTTGCAATGAGATTGATGTCCACTCCGACCAATTGCTTGACTATATCCACGTTTAATGCTTACAGTTAATGCCATCCAGTCACACAGCTTAACGCCGTCTCCCTACTTTTAAGTAAAGCGAGTTCTCTGGTGTAAAATTTGAGACATTACCATCCAAACTAAGGGGCGCGGATGTTTTATTATACCCAGGCACGTTAATTATCCAATTAGATCTCACGCGAAGGTGAATTTGCTATTAAAAGTTCACAACTAATTAGCAGTATCCGCATTTTTAAAATGAATGCTCAAATACTTTTCTTAATTTGTTGTAGAAACGTCAGAGGTGGGAAGAGAAGTCTCTGTTGTGTTTGAGTGCGTTATCCATGCTGCTTAACTAGTCAATCACTCCTGTAATTCGGTACAATTGTTGTCACTTTGGAGGGAAGGCCTCTGCAATACGCCCACAAAGGTGTTTCGGCCTACTCCAAATATAGTAAGCAGCATTTACATTTCAAACGCGCATTCAAGTTCTTAATCAATTTTATTTATTAAACGGATGAAGTCGCCTATTTTGCGGTCATCTAAAATCAAGTATATCATGAAGAAAATTGTTATATGCTGAATGTGTGAGTCAAGTTTTACAGTTATTAATTAAGACAAGTTTAACAAACTGCAGATAAGTTAAATTCGCCAAGTAAATCTTCCTTCCTTACAACTTGGGGTGGTCTCAATGCCACCAAAGTGTGTTTCAGGTAGGTGTTTAATGACCAGCACAACTTGTGATGCAAGAAGTCAAATTATTTTATTTGATTCCATGCGTTCTAAAAATAAGCAAAGGATTTGAACAAGAAAGCATGCAACTAGGTTCTAATATTTTTTTTATGCAAATTGCTTTAACTTAATTGCTCTTAAAAAAAACGTACAACATGGAATTTGGGAAGTCTTAATTGCGCACTTGAAATAAGAATGAGACAGGGCGGTAACCTTACAAATACTATGAAAAGGGGGGCATTCTTCCACATTAATACCCCTTAAACCTCGAAAACGCCATTTTATATTTAAGGTGTATACGATTCCAAGAAAACATTCTGGAGTTGGATTACCTAAGATGTAACACATTTTACACTCGTCTACGAGATGGATTGAGAAGTTCCTGTTGTTTCTAAGACTTTTCCATTGTTCCCTTTGTCGGAGTTGGTCGTTCATTTTCATGACCAAATAATCAAAAAAGGGCATTTATGTATCCGTTTAAGCATTGATGCCGAAAACCTATTGTATCTTTAAGCAGTAAGGCATTCATTTCAGTTAATGACTTCATTCGCAATGGTGACATTGCTTTGAAGGTCTCAAATTCCCAAAAGTAGTCCTGTTTCGAGTTTTGTGACCAATTGCCGAACTTTCTAAAAGGTAATGCCTCCGTTTAACTCCCTCTAGATTGGCTTCTACCAAACACAGGTGTGCTTTAAGTGTTTTGGCACTCACTGTAATGCTAAGATTACCAAAGTTCTATGAATGGGCTTGTCATCAATTAAACACGCACCGTACCACCTTACCTACATGTACCCTTCAACAAATAAATGCATCTATACCGCAATCTCGAGTACTGACTACTTTAGTTGGAAGCTCGGTGGATTTTACGCTCACACGCATACACATCGGTTCATGTTGAACATAAATTCATGCATCACTTATTTAAAAAATTAAGAGGAATCGGATTTTGTACAAATTAATATGCAGTTACAGTCTATTCATTTTAATGGGGCATTCTTCAGACGATTAAATATTATTATGTAGGTTTTGTTTATTCTGAGGAGAAATTTGACCTAAGGGTGCATAAGCTCAAAGAAATTAAATACCTCATACATCTCTTTCAGATTCAAATTTTGTATGCTTTAATTAATTGTATCACCGACCGTATTTGATGCAGGCCGACACGCAACCGCACTTGTTTTCCAACCAACTTCAGCAAAAAAACAATCATATATTCGAAATTCTTAATAAAAAATGCCTTATTTCACTACTTTTTTCTAGTTATTAATTTGGGAGACAGTTCAGGAAGTTATTTGAATCCCTCTCTGTCATTATCCTACTAAATTTAAATCAAGTTCCCTTTAAGTGGATAACCATACAAGATTTGACTTACTCTGATAATTTCAACCATTTCGCTGCGCTCTATCGTGCCATTCCCATCAATGTCGTACATCTGATAGGCCCATTCCAATTTTTCCTTTGGTCGGCCACCGGAGGTGATATTGATGGCTAGGAGAAATTCCTTAAAATCGATTTTTCCTGAGTTGTCCTTGTCGAAGGTACGGAATACGTGGGTACAAAATTCCTCCGCATTCCCGTCGGGGAAGAAGCCAGAGTACACCTCTATAAACTTCTTTTTGCTCAGTTGACCTGAAGGACAGTCTCGCTAAAAAAATATGGAGGGCGATGCTATAAAAACCTTCTATGAATGTTGAGGTGTTATAGGACGTAGAGGACGTGCACTCTGCAACTATGCCATAAGGCTCGCAGCTCTAATTTTCTGAATGGCCGAAAAACGTATAAAGAAATTCAAGCTATCGTATTGCATTGATTTGTTGACTGATTCTTCGTTTTGTTTACGGAGACAGGAAAGGACACCTCCTTTGTGCTTCCGGCCAGCGACAAGGCATCCGGGTCATTCCAATTGTCCCTCAGCCCTTCTGTACTTCTATAATACACATTCTGCTCTAGCATTGTGTTTTTATTTGCCTTCAGGAAAGTCTCAACGCTTAATAATATCATCGCATTAAAGTACAAGCAGACAGTAAATATTTTCATAGTTAGCAGATGTTTTTAGGATGCAATTTTATGTGTTTGAGTCAATCATTCATGCAATAAATTTTTCCCCATCTTAGTGCCAAATTTTATTTTTGGTGACAGATTAAGTTTAGGGAGTAGAAAATTTCTTCATTGCTCGTTTTTTCCGTAATACAGCAGACAATACCGGTGTACCACCACCGAGCATATTAATCATGAAGCATTATATCAGACGGCTCGGTACCGATGCAGTTCTATTTAATTTTTGATTTTGTACCTGGTGACTGTTTAAAGTAAAAATTTTCTGGTCTTCTTTGAAAATGTGTAACTAATTTCCATATATATGCGTCTATTATTGAATGGCTGTTATTGAAGATATTATATTTATACAGATATTTAGCAATAAAATGGAAAATATGGATTTTTAAGGGTCATTAAACCATATTTTATTTATTTTCCTCCATAAATTAACTGCGGTTATTCTTATTTCACCCAGAAGAATAACCACTGTTAGGTGTAAAGAAGGTAAGATACCTAGCAAAAAATAATTAGCTACCTCCTTTCTAACAGGCTATTGCTATTTATAGAGTAATTTTAGAGTTACCCTTTGCAGTAAAACTTCCAGCTTGATCCCTCAGTTTGGTCACGTGAGTTTTGAGCATAAACAAAGCTGCACCTTTAAATTGTAAAGCGAATTTTCAACACCTTTAATTTTACTGCCTTGTTGTGGGTGCTTTAAGAAACTGGCGTAAACAGTTTTGAGATCTCGTGCCTTCTAAACACCATGAAAGTGATACTATTTTATTTACCCATCTGCAGCGGTTCATTTTATCTCGTTTAATGTACGTTGCAAAATTTTATTACCCAGAAATCACCAGCCATTTTTGTTTAGTAAGTCTGCATATTAAATTATCCTTGTTTCTGTTTGGATTTTACGTTCACTTAAACATTTCCTCCTCTCCCTATACCTATAAGTCACTTGTTTTGGATCATTAAAAAGATTTCTTATGAATCCGCTTAAATTGTCGCGCACTAATGATTGATGATAAGGTGTCAAAAACTTCCACCTTTCACCCACACATGGCCATTAGAGTAAATGCCCTTTTTGAGCACTAAAAGTTGGATTTTCTTCTGAGGCATGCTCAGCTATGATTAATTACTTAAGAGGATGGAGAATTTTTATGATTCAGTGGGCAATTTGTTGCAACATAGTGAAGTTACATAGAAAAGTGATATTTGGCACTTTGCAAACAAAGGGTCTCAACACTAGAAATGACCTTTACCGTGCTCAGAAACTATTACAAGCCGTAAATTAAACAGTCTTGATGACTCATTTTTATTTAAACATATAATCCTTTTTAGTTTGTGCTGGATCCACCCTTTAAAGTGATTGCAATGTAGATATTTGTAGTTTCCTATGCCGTTTGACGATTTCAGCAGCCATCGGTTGCCTTCTTCTGCTTGAATACTAAAAACCAGTAGTAATACTACTATTTCTTAATTCTATAGAAACAATTTTTGCAAAACATCTTCTGGTGGTATTTTGGCAAATAATTTTTGGACCTTCATTTCCTTTTGGGATAGTAAAGGGTAATTAAAAGGTTTGCTTTTATTAAGCAGCTGAATTTTGCTTTTGATGCTTTTTCATGGTTATGAGTACTGGGCGAATAGTATTTTTTCCAAATACCTATGGTTTTGGTCATTGTTTTAATGGTCTCAGCATTATGCTCAATTCCAGCAACATATTATCGCGTTGTTTTTAGGAAATACGATTTAACACAACTTCTTCCTTCGCGATTTCAATATCAGGTTCCTCATGGCAAGACCCAATGAGTACCTTTTTGGATCAGTGCATACAATGGGATAAATTACCGAATTTTCACTTGGATTTCCTAAAAATGGCTTCAGCTTGAGATTTACTTACAAGTTTGAAATCACTCGCTCTTTTTTTACGAGTGCAAAATTTACAAAAACGCAACTGAAATGTAACAAATAGCTCTAGAAAATATTGCAAAATATTGCAAAATCTTCCATTCAGACATCTTTTTGCTTAATGGCATCAATGACACCTGTGTCTTCTGACAAACGAATATGGTGGTACACATACTTTTGAAACTGAAAAACAAACCTACTTTTGTTTAATGATGCCAACAGGAGCGATCTCCCTTCACCCGTTACAATTGGCTCTTTTTATCATTACAGTGTGCACCAACACTTCATATTTTTTGATGAATTCCATTAAAAGTCTTACTATTCAAACGACCAAGGGCGATATAATACTGCGCATGTCTTTCATCTAACTTGGCCTTCCATATATGTAAAAACGCCGCCTTGACAAAGAGTGCACTACATTTTAGAGGTGTCAGAAAGTCTGGAATGTACCATTTACATCTGTAAACAAATCTATTTCCATTATTATGTCCACTTAAATATAGATCGGATTACAAGACAAACTACTTTATCATGCCAGGTAATCAAAGTGACTATGTTTTTATTTATAGTAAAAACCAAAATAGGAGAACTGAAACGACTTACAATGAATCCATTGTACCATTGCTTAATTTGTTTCTTTGTAAAGTGGGTATTGCTCATCAGAAAGTCTAAATCCTCCTTTGGAAGCTTTTTCCGCGATCCTAACGCGTTCCCCATTATTACTCCTTGTGCTTAAAAACGACCCCTCGTTTTTGCCTCCTTCTTTTGGCCTGTAATTTTAAGGTGAAGAATTACACGTAAGGTTAGCTTTCCCCCAGTGGCAGTATTCCTCGCCTCGAGGGAAAAGCTTTCAACTGTTCTCTTTTCAAAATACAGTTTTTATATCTTGTGGAGAAGAAAATCGGTCAGTTAATAATGTTTTATTCATGTTCTGCATATTAAATGGCAACACTAATCCGGTATAAATATATTAGTCCATCATTAGTTGTTATTGTTCCGCTAGAGTCTATTCTGCATGATGTCAATAAATGAACTAGAAAAATGTATTGCAGAAATTTGAGACCACTTGAAATAAAGCCACAAATTATTGTTAAACATTTCTATTGAATTACATATGAGGTATACAATCATAGTCATAAAAATTTCGACGCTTATCCACAAAGTTGCAAAATTATTTTGACCTTCTTATGTTGTTTGTAAAAAAGTTGCAAAAGAACATGGAACGAGTGATAAGGTTAATAAAAGTTCAAGGACAATATAAAGATTTGTTTTCGGTAAAGAAGTCTTTCGATAGAAATGGAGCACTGCCGAAAATAGTGTGGATTTTTGAAGAGACACCCTTACCTTAATCAACCTTGTCAAGTTGTCTCATTTGTTCATGCCAGAGGACTAAGAGTAAATTAGTACCAAACTTGTGGATTCGATTTTGTTCAGAAACAAAATGCATTATAGAAAATGACACCCCAATTTTAAATTCTTGTAGTTGATTTAGCCATTCATAAGTTGTCCCCTTTGTTACAAAAAGCATCTCAAATCTATTCACAGTGATGAAAATCCTTATCTAATGATTGCCATGTTGACATTTATTCCCTTTTCCAATTGAGGGATTACGTCAACAATCGGACTTGTCACTCAAGCAATTTATGTGGACCAATTGTACTTAACGAAGGATGTTGCAATCCCAATAACTTTTGCCTAGTAAATTCTCACCTCAAAATAAATCTCATAGCCAAAAACAACGGTTACGGTTAAAAATGGAATTTTTCGGGGAGATATTAAAACAAGACTAAAATGTGTAACGTAGGTTAAACTAAAATAAAGCTCTGGTGCAAAATTTTTAGTGGTTTTTCTAGCCTTAAAGTAGTTATAATTAAATTACTTATGTATTACAGGCATTACTGGCACTAGGTCGAATATTACTGAATTGAGCACGAAAAGACTGTAATCATGTTGGGTACTGCGGTGCTTGTTATGCATGACTGGCAGGCTTAACGGTGCGTTAAGAATGGTGCGGTTTACCGATCCAATGTAGTCACGTGGAGTTGCAAATTCACAGCACAATTAGGGGACGTAAAAGTTAAAAGCAGCCAAACCTAAACTGATTAACACTTTTCTGGCTAATTAAATACCCAAAAACTGACATCTTTCACGATGTGTTGCTAGGTTAGAGGATGGCATTAGTGTCTAATAAAACTCTGTTACATTGGGTCGTGCTCAACTCTTCATGGCTTTTGCAGAAACTACCATTTATAATAAATAAACAGCTTTTGCGTACTTTAAGTGTAACCTGTTTACTTTTTAAAAGTGTGCTAAAGGGTATAATTAGCTTTAGACTGCAAAAATTCTACTGTTTTGCAGTTGAAATTGGAGCAGTTGATGTGATATGTATCTTTTAAAAGCTGGTTGTTAGGTTGATGTTTTGCCGACGAAACATAAGAAGAGGAAATTATGTGTGTTTGAAGAGTGCTTTCTCCAGTCAATTGAAGTCAATTTTAATTTAAGCATCATTTTGACAACTAAACTAATGACCAGCAGTCATGCCAACCCTATTTAAAATCTATACCATCAAAAGAATAAGCCAATTCTTACCGGATAAATAATTCCTGTATTATTTTAGAGGGATGAACGACAATAGCTTCTAAATATGGCCGCTATGTTGAAACATATTTCAAAATGTCTGCTCAAACACAGTTATCATCATTTTTTGGCTCCAGCATAAGGCTAAGTGTATTGAAGAATTTAGCACAATATTCACACTCCAAACTGCGTCATGTTTTTTTAACAAGATCATTTGGAGAAGGATCATGCACCATCGAGAGTGATGCGAGCTTAACTAGGTACTTCTAGACAAGCATTCCATTCTGAATATTTCAACAGTTGGTCCATCTTTGCGCCTCCCACGCACGTATCACAAGCTGCGCATCGAAAATCCCTCAGAGGCAAGGATTGCTACCCAAAAAGATTTTGAGAATAAAGACTTAAAATTGGTCAGATTGCTTCTTTTTAGTCGCTAATATGTAATGATAATGCCTTTGCTAAGCCTCTAGACCCAACTTGTTTATCGCAAAAATGAATTTCTAATTATTTAAGAAAGATGTAACTCCAGGAAATTCAGCGTGTTGTACTAAGCAAGGCATTTTTGTGGTAAATGATATCAGAAACTAACTGTAGAGGACAGTTTCCATAAAAATTTCAATAAAACACAATATTGTATGGTTTTAAGTTGTTATGAGTAAGATTACTTTATGGTGTGTTAATAAACTCCTCCTTTACTTATTGTTATAATGCAGCACTAAAGGCGGTTTCCTCAGCAAAGCTGGTATTCCGATTATGAAAGTCGCGTCTCCCCTGCGGTTAGCCTCTCTGTTATAGGTATTCTCAGATTCACGTAAAAATCACGCATTCGAATTTGCCAACGTTTAAAGTCTAACGCTTAAAGTCTAACCTTATCAAGTGAGATCTGTCTGACTTATGCCAATAAATTTAACTTATTAAGCAGTTGTTATGTGTACATTTTGAGTGTTAATTAAGGTTTTGAGCAGATGCTACTGTTGGATGTCTTCACGAACCTTACATTGACAGACATAATGTTTTTAAAATATAGGAAAACTCGTAAGCAAAATAAGCATTTCTGCCAGATCCTTGGTATTCGATGAATGCTTAAGTTAAGTTTTTAACTTACTCAGTACCTGTTCCTATATTCTGCGCGAACTTTGCAAATGCGCTTATTTACTTGGATAAATGATGAGTGGACGAGTTTTGTTTGCAGAGATCTCGATTATTCATTAGCACCCTCGTGCTTTGATAAATGAACATCATTGCATAATTAAGCCTAAATAATTCACGTAATGCTTTTATGACTACTGAAATGCACATTATGAAGATGTAAAAAATCATATCCACCACCTTTGCCTCTTTCATCGTGTATGTATAACGTTTTTGCTCTATCAGTTGTTGATAACTGGGATCGGTTCAAACCCTGCCGTAAGTAAAATGCTTAAATTAGAACAATAAAACAATTGAAGGACGATCAAATCTGTTCTTATTTATCGTGCAAAGTGCGGGTTTCAAAGCGCAATAAGCCTTTTAAATTCATCATGGTTAATTTTCCCCTGGAACCCAGACAGAGAAATTATTTAGGCCCATGAACTCTTTACCCTTGCGTAAAAGTGATGACGGAGATCATATTTTGCTATTATACTTATATTTTTACTGATTTGATCATCAATCTAAAAAGTAGTGTTCAACCGACACGGGGAGATAAACAGGAGTTCTTACTTTAGAAATTGATGTGCCTCTCAATTTTATTTCATTGATATCATAAAATAACAGGGAACCCATTAAATTCATAACTGCATTCAAGTGTTTCGAGATAAATTTCACGAGGCTATCCTATTCTATCACATATTTTTTTCTTATAATGTGCCTCTCCTATTTGTTAATAATTTTCATTTAACTCACCGTTAATAGTTCGAATAATATCCAATTTTAATCTTTAGAGGATTATGGCGTGGCTGTCTCAAAGCCTAATAAAATTCCTTTTGAGCATGCGTACAGCTTTCCACGTTCGTCTCGATCCCTTGATTGGTTTGTTTACAACGCAGTTTGGTAGGTAATTTGACGACAAAGACGACGATGACGAACAGGACGATACAGTCAAATTTTTCAGTAGCCTATGGGGGAGGGTTACAACTACGGCGCTTTCAATGAGTGAGCAAGTGAGTTTGCCTTATGTCTCCATTCCACTGCTTTATGTGCGCACGTGCCACCCAACGCTCGCACTTCCCCGTCCACGAGCCTGCCGTGCGGCGGTGTCACCGACAGAGCACGTGCGCACACAAGTAAAGATTATCGATCCTCTCAATTTGCCAGCCAATGAGACAACGCATCCCAAGGCTCAGTTTGTGAGCGCCGTGATTGGTTGGGTCTTGTGCTTCTGCAAAAATTGCGAGCTCTCGTGTCACCAGCATCATCAGAGATTAGAGCAGAGCACCGGGGATCGGGTGGTTTGAGCTGGCCATAGTCTAGTTAAACCTAACCTAGTACGCGTACAAGAAGTTTTTACCTCGGTGATATCGCATTTCGTTCAATGTCGACAACTTATTTTATCCAATTCCAATGAAGGAAATTGCCAGGCAGCATAAAATATACAAACTTCAAAAATATAAGACAACTACCTATTTAAAATATTGCGAGAATTCGGAAGTATCAAATCCACAACAAAATGGCTATAATTTTTTTTCATTTTAGTGTATTCAAGCGTCTTAACAGCATAGTCGGAAAAAGGAACAGATACAGTTATGCTTAGAATAATTTACATCATTTTATCTCCTTTTTAAAAATTTAAAGCTCGTTTGCCCTTGAAATAGTAAACTAGATGAATTCTTACATTTGAATTAGCTTAATGAGTTATTAAAATTTTGGGCCCCATTCTGCGATTCAATGCCTTGATACATGGTTGAAAATCACTATACAGTATTCTTAGACTTCCAAGAAACCGGAAAGGATATATAAATCGAGCAGAATGTGCATTGTCTACGTACAGAAGCGGTTGGGGCTACTCGATGGCACTGGGGCCAGGTCGCCCAGCAGAGGTACAAAGGCTGAACTCCTATGTGGCCCGTTACCAAATCCAAGAGTTTAACAACCACTTAACAAATTCCAGCCTAGTTCATTTTTACTTATCATGGAGACATGTCCTAGTGAAGAGAATCACATCAGGATATTCCCTAGGTAGCACTCGTTTTTTTTCTTAATAAAATGTCCAGCTTTCCGACAGAAGCATTCGACGTGTTACAATGATCGTTAGATCTGCACTAATGGTGGAATTCCTGCATTAGACTTTTTCTCCCGTAAAAATACGTTCAATCATCACAAAGAGTCATAATGCTTTTGTAGACGAAGTTCGTTTAGGAATTTCAAAATAAAAATTTTTGTTTATTTGAACCTCTTAAGAGGTAAAAAACAAAAATCTCTTTGACATTAAGCCCCCATAAATGAGCTTGGTCACGCTAAAAGCGTAGGCAAACAGATGCTATTTGGCTATCTTTCTTTCCTGGTTGTTTAGACTGCTCATTTGGGGGCCATTTCTCAAAAACTTATTTGGCTAGAATTTTATAGCTTTGATTAAACTTTGTAAACAATTTCCTTCGGCGTCTACAACAGAACCAGTCTCGTTTACTTCGCGCCTCTAAAAAGTAAAGAGTACAATGCAAGGTGCAAATTCCCTAAATTTTACTTTTATTTTTTATTAATTGCCAGTCTTAATACATTTAACCCTTTTTAGCAAATGCCCTTCTTCTCCTGATAGAAATAAAAGTGCATTAATAATGGAATGGTTGCAGGTTGAGAGCGCAGATGACCAATTTTGAGTTTCCCGACCAAATGATAATTAGTTCCAGCGGCATAAATAATTGCAAGAAGAAGTGATATCTTTGGATATTTTTGCAAAGAATAAGACTTTTTTACACACATATTTGCCATGACCCAAGTTATTCCAACTTGAAATTAATGTGCAGGAAAGGTTTTCCTACAGTCCAGGTTCACTATATTTTACTTATGATAAAGGATATAGATTTCTCAGCTTTGATTGCAATACTTTAATTGCTCTTTTATATTTTCATTTTCATTACACAGGTGCTGAAGGCTTCCCGAAACTTTGTCCTCATAAAACTGATTTAAAACTTGCTCCTTATTAAACGACTCTGCGTTTGAGCTAAGTTCCTTACCGCCAGGGATGAATATACGAGATGTTCAGAATATTTCCTCCTCACCAATGCGGTTTCCAAGTGAAATAAACTTTAGATTTAATTAGATTTTTAAATTTACACAAATTTGATTATTCGCGCGGTTGATTCGTGGACGTTTTACTTGCAGAGCTGACTGCGTTGTGATGGTCATCGCGAAAGGCCGAATAAGGGGAGCAACGAGAACAAAGGTCAGGAGGGACTATGCCATACTTTGATTACCACTTTAACTCTTAGTATAAGTTTCATGGGCACTTAAGCCCCACTTCTACGCTTCCTTCGGGCGGTTTAGTCTAACCAGTAGCACTCGACTTATGTATGTCGGCAAAATATGTTCAATCACCACAAATCATCGCAATGCTCCTGGTGAACAAAGTTTATCCAGAAATTTCAAAATAGTAATTTTTGTTTATTTAAAGCCCTTAAGAGGTAAGAATAAGAAACTCCTCGAAAGTAAGTCCACATAAATGAACTTTGCCACGCAAAAGTATGGGTAAACAAACCATATTGGACTTGCTTTACTGCTTGTTTATGCTGTTCATTTAAGGACTATTTCTCAAAAACTTATATGGCTAGAATTTTATAGCTCTGTAAACATTTTCCTTCGGTGTCTAAAAAAGAATCCTTCTTGTTCGCTCCTGTCCTCTAAAAAGTGAAGCACAATGCAAGATGCGAATGTGCACCCCTGACGCTATCCGCTCTATAAGTTACACATATTTTTTGCTTCGTGTCCAATAGAACACGACTTTAGCATTCCCTTACACAAATTTTTCCTCTCACTTTCCCATTTAAATAAAAGAGATATTCAGAATATTTCTTAGGACACCCTCTTTGAGTACTGGTAAGTGCGAAACGAAATGTTCTTGTGCATTCAGCATAAAACGCATGTAGCTGACAAAATTCATCTCAGTTTGTTCCTTGTGATCAGCATGAGAAACTCTTCAGGCTCCGTTTTGAGCTCTACATAAAATCGTATACTTTTTCAAATCTTATTTATAAATAATACGTGCTCACCTCATTAACCTCTTACAACGATTTACTAACCTTAGTTGTATCAACACCACAGAGTTGTGTTGTAGTTGGAAGTGCAAAATGCCACAAATGGTTAACTTTTGACCTTTGTGGTTCAGTTTTACCCATTAATAAGAGATCTTCAATGTTTACTTTGTATGTAAATATGCATTAGTCGAGGCATTTAAAACACTTTTTTAAAATAAACTAAAAATCCTATTTAGATAAATTAACTTCTCTCATTCAGGCTTAAAGATAGCTTTCGCACTTTTATATATTTAGCACCCCGCGACTTCCTTAAAGACGATCGACGCCATAATGCTAAAGTAGAATACGTATTTTTGACGTAAGAACGGCATGGGGCTGCTGGCATGTAACGGAGGCCATTCCGTCAAGCAATGAGGTAAACACGGAGCCTTAAGTTATCCTGTAATCAAACTGAAGTCTTAGACAAGTATTTAGAGTATTATATGTCGCCTACTCCTTTTAAACATCGCCTCCTTGTTCAGCTTCTTACTTTTATTATCTCAACTTAGTCGACGCTGTAGGGAAAACACTTACGAACCAGCTACGTCAGTCACCGAATTTGCGTGCAACTGAGAAGATACTTGACAGCAAAGTCAAAGAACCTCTTTGACATTTCCACGGGGTCTAGAGTTTCTTTTTATTTAAGAAATGTATTGGGTGAAAGGAATGTATAGGCTACCCCATATATCAGTCACTAGCTGTAAGAACACTGGCCTAAAAGCAGTGTTATTAGGTAAATGCAGAGTTATAAATAGTTTTGCAGAAATACTATTTCGCATCTGCTCTTTATTACCCCTTTACTTTCACTTCAGTACTGCTCAGGCGTATCTATTCGTATTCTATCAAGGTAGTAAAGTTGGAGGAGGTACCGTTTGTGCTCACAAATACTGTAGATAGATGGTTTACGATTGGTGCCGCTGCATTTGCTAACATCACTTCTGCAAAACACAGCAATGTGGTTGTTGCCGAAGGCAGACGTTGTTTTCAGCACTTCTGACAGGGAATAGTTGCAGATTCTCCCATCCGCAGTACATACACTTCTTCCATTATGTTTGTGTTTGACATCCGGTAAGGGAGGTCAAGATAGATGTCGTTTAGGAGCACATTCATCAGCGTACAGATTGAGGTTTTAATACAATTAGAAAGGAGTCATAATGCCAGGATAAAAAACTTATTGCTGATGTAAAGATGGACTGCAAGGCTGTCCTTAAGACCCAGAGGCCATTCCTTTAAGCAAAAATGCAATGGCGGAGCTTTAAGCGTTCTCGAAACTAAAACTAAAATTTAAAATAATTAAAGCATTGCTGGTAGCTAAAATACAACCTGTCAGTTAAATTATCATCAAAACAGAAAGTTGGGGTCCAAAAGATGGGTAAAAGGACATAAATCTTAGAGGGAATAAAATGTTTTTAACTAAAAAGCCCATAAATGCGCCTATTTTTGAAGCAGTAATTGTGGCTATATCCTACATATGATGGGTACATACATATTATGATTCTGGTTATTCACTGTAAACTCCTTTCCCTCTTTTTGCTAGTATTTTTACAAAAAATTCATTCCAGTAAATACATATTTTAATACTGCATCAGTTATCACGCCTGTGCTGAAAACAAAGAGCTTGCTTGCCACTGGGGTCCGCATTTTCTCACTTCCTCCAATAATACACTGAGGCCACTTTAATTCTTTTTCTGCAAATCAGCGAAAGCAACACCCGGCAAATTGTGTACGTAAATAAGTAAGAATTAAACTGCTCTAGAAATTAGGGACACATAAATTAATCGTTTAAAAATCATGTATGTGCTATGTTTGGACCATGCGTATTTGGATAGGTTGAGGGCATTTTAGTATGGGAAAGTTGGCAGACCATGTGACAGAAAAAGTTGTTTTGGCAATTTTAGGCGAGAAAAGAAAACTATTAGGTGGTTTTTATAGTTGCTGCAGGATTTTTATTTAGTTTTAGTAAAACAGAAGGCTTTCTTATTTTAAAAGTCTAGTCTGGTAACCACAGAGCTGGGTTAAAGCAAGTAGAGTTTGCATTGATAGCCTAGCATTTGTAACACAAACTGTAAATAAGGCAAGAGTTGACCTCTCTTTTGAACAAGTTTGCTTATGTTCAACCTGATAAAAGGTTATGTTTGCCTCAAATGCATCAACATATAGTTCATTAACAATAAAGATCATTTTGAAGGCTCGAATTTTGGCCACTTTAAATGACTAATTGGCTGATTTCAGCTATTATAATTTGGCCAAAGAACAAAAAATATGGCGGTTTCCAGCTTTCATTTCCATGCTGACTCTAAAACTATAGCATTTTGAGCAAACAATTCTCGTTAGGTCTCACTTTATTCTTCACTTACATTTACGATTTTTACTTGTGTAACATCTTTTCTTCCTCAGAAAGTGTACTAATAAAGAAGGAAAATTCTTTGATTCCCATACAAAATCCGAAACTGCCACGAAGAGTAAATTTAGAAATATAATTTTACATGAAACAACGGATGAAACGGCTATGCAAAAATGTAAAAATTAGTGATGCATCATTATTAATACCAAAGTGAATAACTGTCATGTTCACAAAATATACCAACATTGGCATTTAGGTCACTTAATTAGGATTATTTTTAGGTAACCAAAAAGCAAAGTATACAAAAATTTTCTTTTGCAGACAATATGCTTAAACCCTATATCCATTGGATCAAAATGACAGCTGCTACAACATAGATAAGAAGCTTCGCCTACGTCCTTCACGTTTTTTTATGCAGATAGCAACAAATAACGAACCGCACACTTACATGCGACGCAGAGGGCTGTCTGGGAGAAACGAGGACTGTATTAGCTAGTAAATAGTCCTTTCACCATTCCGTTTTTGCTTTGTTGTTGGTAAGATTAAAACAACAGTTCCGCACTTCATTGCACCAAAAGAATTTATGATTCAGTCAAAGTTCCTCCCTTGCTTTTTCATTAAATTAGAGCAATTTAAATCCACTCTTTTCTAGTTTCGTATGTCCTCCTGTTACTGGAAGTTCATTTTGTCCAACCGGTTTTAACTGTGTCTCCATGAGTCCTCCACAAGGAAGTAATTAAGTTAAATCACTGCAGAAAGTAGATTTTTCTATTTGCTTACGGATGAGAGATGGTAGCAATCCACGTCGAGTGGCTACTCTGCCAATCAGTAAAAATGGGGACCCAGCTACTCAATATAGGCTCTATGATATAGAGGCAAAAGTAATTTGTGTTTGTCCTAAAAAGGGTAAAACACTTTTTGGTAAATGCGCATTAAGTAAGATAGACAGACGTACGTCAACATGCAAATCAGATTTTTGACAACACCAAAGATTTAAAAAAGCCAGGTTAAGCTTATAGCGCAGAAGAATATCAGATTTACGATCAGCAGCTAATTTTTCAAGTATTGTTAATGCAACTAAAAGCAATTTGCAATCCCTACATTTTTACATTTGGTTATTGAAACGAACGATGACAGGTTCGTAAAGATCGGTACCGTTTACTGAGCTCCAAAGCAAACAAATAACATTTAGCTACGACTTTATGCTTCCTTCAAGTAAAGAAGGGAAAATATATCACCTTAGCTGGATATTCTTCTCAAAAAAGGAAATTTATGAATGCTCTTAACCATCAAACGAGCCGCTAGCATTTCACGCCTTCGAAAAGTGTTTTTCTTTCTTCTCTTAATATTTTATGAGCGCAGCACGTTGGTTGTAGAGATGAGGAAGGAAGAGAGGGGTATTTCAACACAAAAACTTCGCTAAGGCAATACAAATTGTCCTTTAGCGCATTTCAGTCCTTACCAGGTATAAACGGTGTTTTCCCAGTTAAACATCTGTAAAGTATCTTATGCTTGTTGGTTACTTATTAATGACCCTAAAAGTGCTTTTGCTCATTTACTTTGACATTTG